TATTTATATTTATATTTATATTTTTATTTTTATTTATTATATATATATATATATTTATTTATTTATTTATTTATATTTATATACATATGTGGCAGTGCAGACTCAGAACCGGACCCACCTCTAACATAGCCGGCACGTGATGCCCAAAAGAACGGGGGTTGGGCTGGAGGTATCCGAGATGTGGCAGCGCACCTCCAACCATCTTCAACATAGCTGCAGAGTGCTTTGCAAAAGTGGAGTGGGGCTGAGGACGGCTGGCGGGGTATCCGATATCTAGTCGTGTACTTCCAGCACACCTTTTCCTGCTGTTTGACAACGGAGGTTGCGTGCGCTTCGTGTTCGAAGCAGGTTTGATATTCCGAAGAAGAGAGCACATAGCCCCATGCAGGCAGTCGCCTTGTGTGTCGGGTGTCTGAGCAATTGCAGCCCTCGCCCCGCAACCGTGCCGCATGAACCCCAGGCAATTGGAGGGACAATCAAAAACATGCCAACGTTGCCGGGTATCTCACGAGTTATAATCTTTGCCACGCAACCCTCCCGAAAACACCGCAGAAACTGCACGATGCCGCACAGATGGAAGGACAACAGAGTTGGAGTTAAGCACAGGCAGTCACGAACAAACGGCACAATACTCAGAAACGCCTGCACCTGCACAAGTTCTAGAACGAAACACTGCGGACCCGACCCCAGGTGTTGCCGATCACTGGGCAGAGCGTGTCAACCCTGAGACGAACCTTAAAGCTTTAAAGGGTGAGGCCCGCAAGACATGCAAAACGTTTGCGGGACCCAAAACGCCGAAACCCCACAGGACGAGGGTTCAGGGTTCAGCAATAAGTAAACGGGTCTGAAAAAGCAGTCATGGTATTCCTGCCTTCCCTATATAGCAATTCTACAATGTAACCTTAAGGCCTTCTTCTAATTTCTAAAACTCCACATTGTGTAAATTCCTATGAACACCTTTGAGAAATTTTTTTTGTGAGAACACCACCTAAACCGTAACCCCTTCACGCCTGACACCCTAGCGTTCTAGAACCGCTTCAAAGAACCCGACGGAAGCCTAAATACTTACCCGTAAATTGAAAGCCTTCTGAATTATTAATGCCCTTGTAGTATCCAAACTTCCACAGCACCCTTCTAGAGTCCTCTTGAGAACCCTTTACAGGAACCTTCTCCCCAACATGAACGCTCCTATATCATAAAACCCTGACAGTAACCCTTATAGGTGCCTGAAGGGGGACCCTTAACTATTCTAATTGTTCAGTCCCCTATATAACCGTAAACCCTAAACACCAAACCCCAACCCCGATAAGGGTTGTGAGAACCAGAACCTCAGGTCTCAGGAGCGCTGGGACTAACAACCTTTCTGGCTGCAGCCGGCCACGAGTGTCTCAGCCAAGGAAGCTTTAAGGGGTCACGGGGGATTTGGGTGTCGGGGTTTACGGTTATTAGCTATCCGTTTTGGGATAGTTTTGCGTTTCTTGTTGGTGGTGTCTTCTGAAACCTTGGCATTTTTCCTTCTTGCTTTACTGTAGAACCCTAAGTCGAAGCAGTTTTGAGGGCCGTTGAAACCGACAGCTTTTTCGGGTGTTGGGGGTTTGTGGCTGCTTTGGGCTTCAGGTGTTCAAGGTGCGCGTTCGTTGTTGAAGTTTAGGCGTTCAGCTTTCTGCAGTTGCAGACATGCCTTGTGTGCATTACGGTCTCAAGCCACGACTTGAAGTTTGAGGTTCAAGGACTGTACTAAGGTTTCCTTTATGGGTTGCTAAGAGGGCTTCTCGAGTCGAGGGCTTCAGCCTTATAGCTGGAAATTAGTCTGTGGGCAGTTCTCTAAGTTAGGGCCCTTCTGGGAGTCCTTTTTATAAGGTGCTGTACCATGTTGGGGACTTGAAAAAGGACCCTGGTTTAGACAACTACCCCTATGCTTCCCGATGTTTCGGTCTACGGTGTTAGCGTTTTCTTCGGAGGTGAGGGGACTCTCAGGAGTTGGGGATGGTATGAACATGTTCATGCAAGTGTTGCTAGCTGTGTACATTTCAAAAACGGCGAGCACACGCTGGAGAGATTGTCAATATCGCCCTACCCAGGAAGATGTGGTGGAAGCAATGCTTGCAAAATCTTTTTATGCCATCTCCCGAACCCGATGTGCAGCCTGACGGGTAGCGTGATGACCCTAACTCTGAGACAGAGTCCAATGTACGCCCGGTCTGAGAGTGATGTTCCACGAATTAAAATCACAATCTCTTCAACCCTCAAATAGATCCTTTGTTGTCAGCGGAACAAACCCCAAGCCCCAAACCCCCGAAGCTTGCGTTGCTGCTCCAAAGGTTCGTTGTGACATCGTCCAAAGATGGCCCAGATTCGGTCTTCGAAAGAGAGCTTCCTGATGCTGACGTGGCAAGCTGGCTCTTCAGAGCTTCGAGATCCTTCTAATATAGAAGCCTGAAAAGTTGCCAACAACATTTCTTAGGGCTCCTGCTTAGAACTGTAGTTTATAATATCCCCGAACCGCATTTCAATTATTGAATCCCCTACCTATCTCAGGCTGATCGCGTTGATAGTAAACTGCCTGAGGTACAATGGCAATACTGACAACAACACAATTTCGTAATTATTCTGGCTCCCTCGCTATACGAGATTTCGGGTTAATCACTACTATGTCAGTCAACAGTAGCAGTAGTAGTCCTTGTGCCGTAGTACTAGCAGCAGCGGCAGTAGTCGTAGTCGTAGTCGTCGTCGCCGTCGTCCCTAACCTTGAACCCTACAAGCAATGGTAAGTTGTACGCTCAATGTGAAGAGAAAGAGACCCCAATATCCACCTCCGATGACACTGAACATCGAAGCATGGGGTCTCAAATACGGTGGCTTTATATGGGGTAGTATATGGTTTCTACTTGGGTTATATATACGTTCCATACAGGTGCCACAGGGTTTTTACAAGGGTCTTGTACGATTTGCCCGGGGTCGGGAGGGCTTCATACGGGTAAATCCACGTCTGTCTGTAAGGGCCTTGCAGGTTTTTGTTGGGAGTTATCTAGGGGGTTTCAGAAGGGTTTACGCGGTAGCACTTCGCTCGAGCGCTAAGTCCCGAAGCCCAAGCCCGTAAGCCATACCTGAAACCTGAACCCCAACCTAAACCTTAAACCTTGGATCCTGAAAAACTCTACTGACACCTTCAACCTTATACTCGAAATTCCCTTGAATCCCGAACCGTAAACCCTAAGCCTCAAGCCCTCGACCCCAAGCAAAACCCGAGAGAGCCCAACTACAACGGTTGCCCATATTCTCAGTAGTAGAGCAGGTAGCCTTTAACCTTTTGGGTATAGTACGACCATTACATAATCGAAAAGGTCCCTAGAATACTGGACAAGTAAGCAAGTTTGAGGGTTATTACCCACTAGAAGGGGTGATCTTGGGCCGTGGGCAGTAACATTGGCAAGTTGCGGAAGCCCTGTAAGACAGATGCCTCAAAACTTGGGGGGGGGGGGGGGGTATGCTAGGGAACCCTGCGCAACAGCATTTCTATCTCTTCAGGGCCCTATACCCTATTTCCGTAAACCCTTGAACGCCTAAACCCCTAAACCCTTAACCCTAAACCCCAAACCCCATTCGCGAAGCCAATCCTCAAGTCTGAACCTTCGTCTGCCTGCCATGCTGAGGTAATCTCACAGCCCTTCTGGCCTGCGTACATGAGCGCCGAGCGCTTTGAGAAGGCTTCCTAGAGACTCCAAAACCCCTTAATTCAGGAATGTTTAGGGTTTAGGGTTTAGGGGTTAGGGTAATTAAGGAATAGACCTTAAGTCACATTAGGGATCCCTAATATGATTTAAGGTATATTCCTTAACTAAGGGGTTTTGGAGTCTCTGGGTTCCTAGATTCGACACCCGCAAGAACCCAAAAGCATGAGACCTGTCGTTGTTATTTTGTTGTGGTTGTTACGAGGACTATGAATACTATTACTCTCATAATGATTATGATTTTATTGATCTTTTTTGCCATTGAGAATATTATTGTTCTTTTTGTTGGGTTTTGGGCGCGGTGTTTACTAAAACAGAACTGACGACTTTGTTGTAAGTAGGCCATAATTCCTGTTCTGAGTTCCCTACGCGAGGTTATCCGAGTTGCACTGCTAGCTATATCCTACGTACTAAGTCCCCTGAGCCTCTCAGTGGCCCCTGTATACATATAGGTAGTTCTCTAAATTAGAATCCCTCTTTGGGTCCCCAATATAGTACGGCACGCTTGTAAAAAGGACACCCAAAAGGGACTCTAATTTAGAGAACTACCCATATAGTGGTGAACTTTACCACAGAAGCTCTTCCAATAAGTAAGGCTCCCAAATGTGGTTGAGAAAGTTTCAAAACCAGGTCCAGTATTCCAGCCACAGCTTTGTTGTCAGCCAGGTGAATGTTGCATTAAAGTCCAAACCAATAAATTCATTAAGTTTAGCATAGGGTTCCTTAAATGGCTCTTAAATTTTGGGACTTAGCAGAGTTCTATACGGGCGCTTTGGGAATTTAGGATTTATAGGGGGCCTTAGTAACTAGAATCGTTTTTGACCAAAGTATGTAGGGACTGTAGCGGAACACCAATCCTAATTATTCTTACCTCCATATTCAGACCCTCACAGACCCAATACCCCTGACTGAAGGACCAGGAATATGCCTCACATCACAAGCTTCAGCTCCGTTTTTGTTAATGTATAAATGTATATTACCTTCTTCAATTTGGGGGCATCCAGCCAAATTAAGAATGCTAAACCAACGTTTGTTGTTCGATACCTTACATGATAGCAAGCAACTTCGTCTGCTTAGGTCACCTTCAAAGAAGAACCGCTCAGCCTTCTCAACTACCCTTCTCTCCTCATTGAATGTCATCGCCGAAGACTTCCCTTGTAGATCTACTTGGAGGATCATGGGACTTAGTAAGTAGGGCTATAGTTAGGGTAACTATACTTATAACCCCAATTAAGGGACTTATAACCTTACTTATTCAGTCCCATGATCCTCCAAGTAGGGTCTCACAAAGTTCGTACGAAGGTATTAGCGGAGATGCCTGCTTATAACACTCCTTGCTAAGCTGGTGTGTTTAGAGGGTTTCGGGCTTAGGGCTGTTGGGGTCTAGGGTATTTTGGTGTTGGGGTGTAGTATAGGGGCCGCAGTAACTTAACGTCAGGACCCGCATAGAAGTTACTACTATTCTTGAAAAGAGTGGTTTCCTTATCGTGGGCCCACATCACAACTCTACCTCTGAAATCCTAGTTGCACACGTAGACCTCAACGCAAAACAACTGAAAGCCTGCCCTGCCACCTCCAGGCGGTTTCGGAGTGGGTGGGTTGGATTTAAGGTTCAAGGTGCTGGGGTTTTAGGCTTTCGGAGAGTTTGGAGGTTGACTTCGAGCTTCATGTCTGCGGCTAGGAAGTTGGGGAGCTTTCGCGTTGCTAGGCCTAGTCGGCATACTGCTGCCCCTGGATTCTATAGATCAGAACCCCGGAACCCTGAGGTTGCTCCATCTCAAACTCATTTTGGTTTAGGTTTTAGGGTTTTGGGTTTAGGGCTTCCAGGATCCATGGTCTTAGTTCTCTTAAGTTTACTTTAAACTAGCATAACCTATTGTTTTGTCGGTTCGTACTGTAAGCCCTAATAGCGAATCTGCATGGACCCTACAAAAGAAGGAGGCAATATGTTACAGAGTGGGGCTGTACCCACCCAATCTACCCCCGAATTTGATACAATACTGAGGCCCGCATCCCTTCGGAACTAGGATTGGCTGAGCCCCATCAAGCACCGTTCCAACCTCGTTTGGAAAACTTTCTGCTTCCGGATCCTAAGCAACTAGAACAGAACAGAATAGAACAGAGTTACATATCGTCCAGTATCACAGTAGCAAGCTGATAACATTTACTGCAAGATACCTCAAGTAGCAGAGTTCTGGAAGGCCAAGAAGTTGAAGCTCTGTATCACCGCCGGCACCTTGTTCAAGCTTCAGGGTTCTTAAGGCTTGGGAAATAGTGGCTTGAGATATAAAGCTGAATGTTATTTGAAGAGCTTGAGAGTGCAAAGGCCAAGGGTTGAAAGTTGGGGTTTAGGGTTTAGCAGTTTAGTGCTTAGGGTGCAGGATTTAAGTTCGGGTTTTTGAGTCTGTGGGGTTTCAGCGTTTCAGACTGAGTTCCTAGCTCCACGCATGCCTCTGGTGATGCTGGCTGCTGAACAGTTCAAGATGAGTCGCAACACCGACAGCCCCGATACGCGAGGAGCCTCAAAGCCCGAAAGCAGCAAGAGACCCCAAAGTATCCCCGCCCCCTGAAGTGTAAATACCCACTAATGGAGCCATCAGGAGATGCTCTATGGCACACGGAATACCAGTGACGATCGTAAACGGTGCCAATAAGCAATGGTACGTCATTGTTAATGACGATACCCGAAGCCAATACAACTGCAACCGAACGAGTGAGCAGCCTCCGCAAAGCCAACCTCTCCTGAACGTTATGCACCCAAATGTGTACTAGTATAGTGGTACCCACAGGGCGACAGCATTTTATACAATTTGATTTGCGGGTAGGTTAATGCTTGTATAGGGACTATAAGGGTCTTTTCCGATCCGGATACGTTCTTTACATTCTGGCTTCGACCCTGCCCGAAAAGCGTCCGAGGCATCGGCTCCGACCACGTTGACTTGCAGGCAGCTTGCAACCATGGCGTCACCGTGGCAGAGGCTGGGGCGGCTGGCTTCTTGGGGAGAAGGTTTCTTCTGGGGGTCGGCAATAGCTACTCACGCATGCCCGTATCGCCCTTATTATAGTTTTGGCACAGTATACCCCAAAGAGTTCCATATGCCCTGTAATTAAGCGATAGCTGCTTCGGACCTGTTTTCCCTAAACCCTAAATCCTAAACCCTAAATCCTAAGCCCTAAACTCTAAACCCTAAATCCTAAACCCTAAACCCTAAACCCTGAAAAGTGACAGGTCACCTTCTGCAACTCCATCTCCGTCGCAGAGCATGTGGCATCTTGGCTCAGATGCTGCGAGCTCCACTTGGCAGCAGTAGCCAGTTCAGGGTTCCTCTGGGGGCGCGCGAATTTCCGCAATGCCCGTTTCAAAACCAGATACTTAGAGGCCCAGGAAACTTAGCAAGTAGGTTATATGCAGAGTTATAAGTACCCTAAATGGAGAGAACCCAATTATAACCCTACTTAGAACTTCTAACTCCTTTCGGAAGCCCGGACCTCATCCCCGTGAAGAGAGTCTGCAGGTCCCCCGCAGCCGAAGCTTGAGGCATCAGCTTCTGCATGCAGGGGATGGTTTAGGGCTTAGGGTTTAGGGGGTTAGGGTTTAGGGTTTAGGGTTTAGGGGGGAGTTCAAGCTGACACCATACTGACCTCCAATGGGCCTTTAACATCCTAAGAATGGACCCTCTTCTTTTGGCTATGAAAAAGCCCAAACACCCTACCAAACCCACCAAGGTGATGCTCTTCTAATATAGTTAACCGTTATAACCCTCGTAGTACAGGCAACCCAATCTAGCCCTTATACGATAGCAACGATATAAGGGTTACCATGAACCCCTAAACCCTAAACTCTTACTATGAATCCCTAAACCCTAAACCCTAAACCCTTACTAGGAGCCCCTAAACCCTAAACCCCCCTAAACCCTAAACCCTTACTATGAACCCCTCCAGGTGATGCTCATCCTGAACCTCGTCCGCAACTTTGTGCCTTCGCACGACATCGCCGAGGCTGGAGGCTGGCAGGGAGGAGTACGATACATTATCATATATGGCGAGGTATGCAGTATAATATGTAATTAATATAATATACATATATATATATA